TACAACCAAGCGCATATATATAACACTAGATTAACTTTGGTTTCATGACAATACTCACAATAGAGTGATAGACACATAAAAATAAGCCATATACTCAATATTTATTTATCTAATCAACAATAATGACAACAAAACAAATAAAATAAACAAACAAAATAAGTGGAAATTGGTCAAGAAGCATAATTTTTTTGGGAGCCTAGCTAAGGGCCTGTTCTGATTCACTGAACTAATTAGAGTTGAAGTGAACTGGACTGAACTGATTGAAGCTGAAGTGAACTAAACTTATATGAATTGTTTATGAGAGAAGGTAATTAGGTTTTGAACTGAACTTAACTGAACTAAAATTAAGCTGAAGAGAACAAACACTAAATTCTATATATTGATTAAATTTCCATTACCAGATATTACTTTTAGCTTTGAGATTGTACAAGTTAACAATCTTAATATATTGTGGAGGTAACCAAAACTGAAAGGGAGTAATTCAAAATTGGTGTTATAACACATCCTGACCTTTCACTCATTTTGCCTTACTCCGAATTTATTTTGTATCTTTTATTTTTACCCAACACATTATCCACTTCATTCTTATACATATAGATTTTTTGGTGTTTAGAGAGCCACAAGGGCGGGGATGAGAATCGATCCCAGATCTCCATAAATCGGGAGGGAAGCTCTGCTCACTTGAGCCATATGTCACTCTCATCCACTCCTTATATATACATGCTCGCCACATCAACAATTTTTATCACCAATTTCTTAAATTCTTGTGAAAATACTAAATGTCAAGTATAAATAGACACGGGGGTAATATGTATGAAACACTATAATAATGTAATAAAATTCAAATTGTATTTGCCTCAAAAAAAAAAAAAATCAAATTGTATTGCAATCTTTGTCTTGATGATATATATTTATATACCTGTTTATTAGACGGAAGCTTAGACGACATATATTGCTTTAAAGGCGTGTTCTCTTCAGCTTAATTTCAGTTCCTAATTTCCTTTTCTCATAAACAATTCATTTCAGTTCAGTTCAGTTATTTTCAGTAAATTAAAACAGGCCCTAAGTCAAATATTTCGGATAAGTTTTGGGTTAATACCACAAATTATACATTGATTGGATTTTGGAATAATGTTTTAACTTAAATGCCAATGTTTGCTTATGATATAATTGATAATCATGAGTTGTTAAAACATTGTATTGGCAAGCTAATTGTCAAAATAGCTTTCTATCATATGCGAAGTGAGATTTCAAGCTAATTTCCTTTTAACCTAGTTGCTACTATCTAGCGTGTTAATTAAATGAGTCCCACTTAATTATTAAGGTTTTTTTTTTATTTATTCTATCTTACTAATTACCAATCTATCAACTTTGAATTTTTTTTTTGCACAAGCAAATTTGCTTGGCCAAGCTAATTGTATATTTTTTTAATAATTAAGCTAGTAGCTAGGGACAATTTTTGAAAGTTGCAAGCAAGTCCCAAGTTACAACCATTAAACAATTATTGGAGTACACTTTTTTTTTTCAATGTTGCTTGTTTCTTTTTGTTCTACAACTTCTTCCAATGTTATTTTCTTTGATAAATAAGTATTGATAAATTTACAATTGGTACACAAGTTTAAACTTTAATACTTCATCGATCTTTAAATTACTTCCTATTTAATTAGAATCTTTCAGTTATTAACATTTTGAGGGATATATATATGTGTGTGTGTGATTTTATTTGATTCATTTCAATCAATAATACTTTATGAGTTACATAGTGTGCATGCATAAACTATATAAGTAAATGTACCACTAAATTGACCAAGTCTTATCATTTAATTTGGACAAAATTTTGACAATGTTTATGATAATTAGGTTTTTGGAAGATTGGAGAGCATAAAAAGGGGGTGAGGGTAAGGAAGGAATATGAGTGCAGAACAAGAGGGCAAAGTTAGAATTTTCAAGTAAACATTTTCCTTTCCTCTTTTTTTTTTTTTTTTAATAATAACTACTTCGTTTGATTTCATTTTATTGAGTAAGGAAGACTACAAATATATGACATCATTAACCAATGTGAAGCAAGACATTTATAGAGTATATAGTGGATATTCTCCTTTTTATAGGAAGGTTTGAAAGTGTCACACAATCATCATATTCAATAATGGTACTGCATATGTGCTCATACAAAAAGTAGGAAGGATAATACATCACAATTGCATCAATGCATGTAATTTACAATCAACAATTATTTAATTAGGCAATAAAATGGTGAACAAATAGAACAACCTTGTCTACACAATGTTTGTTTAGTGTGTTAGTAATAAAATTAGTGGAACTTGAAATTCCCAAATAACCATTTCCATTTTTGCTCCCTTCTTATCCTAAAATTGTTGGGCATTTTGAAATATCCTTCTCTTCACATTTATCTTCTTTTTCCTTTTATTCGATTGGCTCTCAAAATTGTATCCAACCATCAATTAAAACCCTCAATGATCATCCTTATCCTATTCTATCCAATTATATAGAATTAATTTTGGTTGTAATAACTTACAAGTAAGTGTTAAATATACGGAGTAATGACTACTCTTATCTATAATAATGCTACAAATCTCTATTGCTCCTAATAATAGTTACTCCGTATTTTTTAAAGTGTGTTTATTCTTTATCACGATAAAATTTTCTTAGTCAATATCAATTAGAAAAATGGTATCAACAACATATGCTATTAGTAGGAATAGTACCTAAATTTTATGCTAATTTTTGTTTCTAAATATAATAATACGTGTATGTGAATGTCAAATAAGAATAAACACCTTTTCTTCTATATTCAAAACAAAAAAAATAAAAATAGTACTTTAAATGGATAAAATGCCGAAAGTGATTAGATTAATAGCACTTGAATTAAATTAACATACTTCCAAAGGGTTACACATTGACATATTATGATATTTTCTTATCCGATCCCTTCTTAGTTCTTAGTATGCATGCAAAAATATCAAAACGGCTTTTCTTCAAAAATAGGCGTATATAAAATTATTTTTATATGATATATTCAAAATACTACTATAGTCTTATCCATAGGAAACTTGTAGAAGATTGGTTCAAAATATCATGGAAAATACGTACATTAATTGCAATCAAGGAATTCACCTGTTTTTCAAACTTTGAAAAAAGAAAATTTCATGGGAAATATCTGACAGCAGTAATGGATAAGGACAAATTACAAATATCATGCTTTTGTAAGCTTTGATTGGTTAGTGTTATCCAGCTAGATTATTATTAGTAATTCCACCTAATTAATGACAATTAGGATTAATTCCACTTTTAATGCAAAAATTAAGTGGCTCTACAAGATTGTTGGAGCTATATTGTAGTATTACTAGATGACTACATACGTAACCATTGCATATGGTAATTGCAAATTTTTAATCAAATTCTTGACCCTTCTTTACTATAATAACATGATGTCACGACCAGTAAATATTTGTGATTTATGTGATGTCAATTAGGGATAATAATCTGGAGTGATTACGTCTATTATTGCATTTAAAACACTCATTGTATACAAGAAGGAACTTATGTTTAATTGGCCTTATCCCAGTACTAATTAAAGACATTTGAAGAAGCGGACATTTTAAAAAAAATTGAAGGGCCAAAATAAACTTGATATTAAATGACTTTTCAAAGAAAGAATTATTGAAGCTAACAAAATAGTAGTGATTTGTCTATCATGTGCTTTATTCGTATGATATTACATCTAACCCGAATTTGCTCACATTAAGACTACAATTTTAAGATTTACTATAACAAATAATTTATGCATGAAACTATGTTTATTATATTATATTGTAAAATTTTACAGTATATAGCCTGGAAAACATATAAATCCAAGCTCAAATAAAATAATTATTAAAGGGCATAGTTTTTAAAAAAAAAAAATACATTGGCTCTTAGTTAAGGGCAAGGGTCAAATAATTAAGGTACCAAATTAAAACAAAAGAATCCTAATTTTATCACTTCTATTCTAAATCATGTAAGCTTCCCAAAAAATATGGGAAGATAAGACCTAATCATACGCGGCGTGAGCAAGTGAAAGCATGCTTGCAAGATTCTCCTGCCTTAGCGGCACGGCTTCGTACGTGATTCTTCAACACTTTTTTCACTTTTTTATTTCTAAAATTAATTATTATAATTAATAATAATGAAATTAATTAGAGTATATTCTTTATGAAATGAATAATGCCTCCTAACTTATACCCAATTTGGCCAATTAGCACTTAATACTATTTGCTAGTTGTCACACAACACACTCAAATTTAAAAACTTTAGTAATAGTAGTATGATTTAAATAATTATCAAGTTGGTCCAAGAAAATAGAGAGACAAAATTATTTGATCATATTTCATATATATATATATATATATATATATGAGGAGACTAGGATGATAATAGAATTTAATTGACTTACAAAGTAAAATAGTATTAGCATATTAATAAGTACTAACCTATGATGAGAATACGATAATTGATTCACATTTAAAATACAAGTTATGCACATCACTACTTATGTTAATACTTCCATGCATCAAGGGCAACGATAATAATAAATAGTCTAACCAAGGTTTAGCCTAATACTTCGTATGTATTTAGTCACATATTATGCTAATCATTATTACATGTATTTAGTCATGTAATATGCTAATCATTCTCATAATCTTACATGTATTTAGTCACAAATAACACTAGTCCAAAAAAAAATGATGAAAGAATTAAACAGCACTGATTTTCAATTTACAAATCATATAAAGCCTTACATAAGCACGATATATCTCGAGAAGGTATACAACTTTTAAGTTAAAGGAATATTCCATATCTACCTTTACCCCGTCCAGTTCTCAACAGACACAGTCTAACACATAGTATTCATTATTCAAGTTGATTTATAGTTTTTTATCTGGAAATGTTTTTTTTTTTTTACAAACTCCAAAACATTGTCAAATAATACATTTACATCAATAATAAAATAAGTAAAGTCATAAACAACTACTACTAGCTAGAAAGGCAAAAAAAATAATAATAAAAATAAAAATAAAAATAAAAACGAACGAAAAGGAATCAAAACCTCGAATATTCATCCAACTCTTTATAAAGCTACTTTTTTTCTCTTGCACTAGAAACAAGGAAAATAAGAAAGAGAAAATACTGAAAAAGATTCGTTAGTGTTACGCGACGGGCCGACTTTGATACCTTTGTTCTAATCTTATTTCTTCATTTTTTCCTAAAAATAAACCCAGAAAAAAAAAATTTATAAAAACTTAGGTGTCAAGTTTATTCTTTTGTGATTCTACTCAGATCCCTTTGTTCTTTATTAATCAACCCCACCATATTTTTTTTAAGCTTACCATAAAATCAACCTTCATAAATCACAACTTTTCTCCATTTTTAGTTCCTCAAAAGTTGATAATATTTCATTTTCTTAGGTGATAAAACCCCAAAAAAATAATAAAAATGATGGATTTTAGAAATAATATGCAGAAATGTCAGGAATATATTCATGCGTTAGAAGATGAAAAGAAGAAGATTCAAGTTTTTCAGCGTGAACTTCCTCTATGTTTAGAGCTTGTTACTCAAGGTAATTATCGATATCGATATAATATGATCTCGTATCATATCATATCATTAATTGAGTGTGTGACGCGTTACACATTTAAAGTTTATGTTATGTTGTATTATTATTTTTGTGGTTATGAAATTGATGTATGTGTATATATTTTTTTTATTACAGCAATTGAAGCATGTAAACAACAATTATGTGGAAATGGGACAACTACTACAACAGAGTGTTTAAATGGTCATTCAGAGTGTTCAGAACAAACAACAAGCGACGGTCCAATTTTGGAGGAATTTATGCCCTTAAAAAGGAGTAATTCTACAGATGATGATGATGAAGATGAGCTTGAATCAGGAAAACCCCAAATTAACAATATTAATCTTAATAACAATAACAATAACAATGAAAAATCTGGGAAGAAATCAGACTGGCTTAGATCTGTTCAGTTATGGAACCAAACCCCAGATCCACCTACCACTCAAGAGGTTGGTTTTTTCTAAATTTTATAAAAATTTATAGATTTTTGAGATGGGTTTTTTGTTTAATTTTTTGGGTTTAATTTAGTTTTAGCTAATTTTATGTAATTTTGGAATAATATTGTAGGATCATCAGCCAAAGAAAGTGGTGGTTGTGGAGGTGAAGAGAAATGGTGGAGGTGGTGCATTTCAACCATTTCAAAAAGAAAAGACTAGCAATGGGAAAGAAAATAATGACAACAATATTTGTAATAATGATAAACAACAACCGGCTTCGACACCGACCGCCTCCGCTTGCTCGAGTGCTCAGGAGGCGGAGATGGGACCGAGTAGCGGCGGCAGTGGTGGAGGTAGTAAGAAGGACAAGGATGCACAATCACAAAGGAAAGCAAGGAGGTGTTGGTCTCCTGAGTTGCATAGGAGATTTGTGCATGCTCTTCAACAACTTGGTGGATCACATGGTAAGATTTTCATCTTACATTATATTATAATCATGTACTAATGTGGCTAATACTATGTAACATATGCATTAAATTAATTGATTAGTTAATTGATCAATTGGTTTAGTGTGATATGAATTTTGAATTGTTTATGTGTGATATATGGGCTTAAAATTGAGTATTGATTGGTTGATTGATAATTGGATTTGAATTGCAGTTGCTACTCCAAAGCAAATAAGGGATTTGATGAAGGTGGATGGACTTACCAATGATGAAGTTAAAAGCCATTTACAGGTTTGTACATTATTTTTGTTTTTTAATTTGTCTAATTTTTAAAATTATTGGTATTGTCTTGTGTGGTGCGTTACTCTAGCAAATTCAAATTCAAATGCTCCTGATTTCATGCTCCTGATTTCATCTACCCATATAATCTTAAAATTGACCAAATTATGCCGAATTTAAGCCAAATCTCATTTTTGAATTGGAGATCCCATGTGCATAAGAGATTCCTTTTGAATTAGTACTATGATTTGGATCTTTAATTGTCAAAATTTTACTACTCTCTCAAAAGCCAGAAGTCTACGATAAAATGATCCTTTCAGTCTTAATTCTATATTAAGACGAATTCTTTTTTCACTTTCATCTACCAAACCAAGTCAATTTTCACTCAACTAATCATCAAAGGTAAATCTTAACTTTGAATCATTTCTTGCATATGTAACTTGGTCAAAGATGATATACTTTTTGAAAAATTAGCCTTTTAAATTGTCCTTTTCCATTCTCCCTCTAGTAATGTTACACCATGTGAATTCTTGCTTTTTCATTTTTCAATCAATCTCACCTTGAGAAGCTTTTATCATTGCATATTTAACATTCTCTATCAACTAATACGCAAAATCAATTTACTAATTGAATAATTATGTTTATTTTTACAGAAATATCGTCTGCACACAAGAAGACCAAGTTCAGGTGTTCACAACAATGCCAATCAACAAACTCCTCAATTCGTAGTCGTAGGAGGCATTTGGGTGCCTCCAGAGTACGCTGCAACGACAGCAGGTGACACGAACACGGTCGCTGCTCCAGGCAACATCTACGCCCCCATAGCAACCGTGGCAACACCACCACACTTGCGCCAAACATCTCCGCATATGCAGCATCAAAAACAATCTAGTCAATCACATTGCGAAGAAAGGGGGAGTCATAGCGAGGGAGGTGTTCATTCCAACTCCCCTGCTACGTCGTCTTCTACACACACAACCACGGCTTCTCATGCACATTAATTAGAGTGTTTCTTGGTCTTGTATCTTTTTGTTTACAAGTTCATATAAAGGTGTAGAGATTTTGTAACAAGACATCGGTGGAACACTCTTTTTGTATTATGAGGAAGATAAATACTAGACCAATTGACAGTTATAGAAAAAAATATGTTTGTTAAATTCTTTGTATAATTACTCTTCTTCATTCGTACATTTTGGAAATAATCTTTTAGTCAAGTGTCATTCAATGTTGAAGTTGAATGGCCTATACATCTGCTCTATGTTCTTGATCAATTTTCTCGTTTCTATTGTTAAATTTTCTTTTGATGGACCCTTTATGTGTATGATACGGGATCTTTTACCAAAACGGCTAGTTTGACAAAAGTATTTATCAAAACGGCTAATTATAAAAACTAATTCCCAAACTAGTTAATTTATTACCTTGAAAGGAATTTATCTATTTCTTATTTCCTTTTAACTAGTTTGGTTCACTTTTTTTTTGGTTTATTTTTATTTCCTTCAAGATTTTTTTAAGTTGGAAAATTAAAACAGTATACAAAACTACAAAGAACATAAATAGTCGCAGATTTGCAGATCCCTAATTTCGATTAAAAAAAAATTAAAAGCCCTAATTTTTCATCTTGATCATATCAGTTACAAAAATTTGGAATTTCAAGTCTTATTGTTCTATCAAGATCACCGTAAATTTATACGACAATAAGGGATTTTAGGGTATTCATCTTTTTCATGTCTATTAAATTAATTGTATACTCTTTGTTTATGTCGGCTAGTATGAATATTTTTTTTGTTTAATGTGTATGATGAATCAAACTCACATATATTTATTTCTATCTTTGTGTGTTAAAAAAAAAATAGTTGAATTTTTTATTTCTTTTGTTGATTGGAAGTTTGGATCTTTTTTTTTTTGAGTGGTTGTTTACGTTGTGTAACTTTTTTAAAAATTGAGAATTGCTGCATATATATTATGTTGATTGTTATTGTTCAAATTAATGGGATAATTTAAACTATGGAATTAGAATTTAAATAAAACCAAAATTAAAAATAAAAAACTAAATCTTTTTAAATAAAACCAAAAAAAAAAAAAACATAAAGTGAACCAAACGGGTTCAAAGGAATATAAAAAATAAATAGTATCCTTTCAAATCAATAAATTTAGCTAGTTTGGGAATTAAATTTTATAATTAGCCGTTTTGGTAAATACTTCTGTCAAAATAACCATTTTGGTAAAAGATCCTATGATACGACCAAAAGTGGTATAAATTTGGGAAAGCATGACAAAATCACGCGTCGATCGTTGTAATTAATGTTCATTTTAATTTAATCTTTCTACTTTTACCTAGCTTATCTAACGCCTCCAGGGCGTTGGTTAGCTTTTGCCTTGCAAATAATTTCGTATTACAAGAAAAATAAGTTCTAATAACTTTATACTTTGTACTCCTTATATCATTATCAACACAAATTTAGAAAAAAATAAGTCTTATATCATTATCCAAGATAAATTTAGGAAAAATAAGTTTAATTCCGTTTTAACAATGAAACTTACATGATGGCTTCATTGATGATAAGTTGATCTGATGTACGGAGTATATTTAATAATTAATACGTCATGATTATTTATCAAATTGGCCAAGAAACTCCCACAATATTAAAAAAAAAAAAAAAAAAAAAAAAAAAAAAAAAAAAAAAAAAAAAACTACAATATGTGGTTTCAAAATTATTATGCAAATTAAATACCACTACAAAGTTTGAAGAGCCTTAGCTTTTAAAGGTTGCTAGAAAATTCCACATATTCATATGTTGTATGAAGTACTTCATATTATTTACTACGGAGTAAAAAACTAATGCATGGTGCATACGACATGGCATTAGAAATAATGAAGGGTTCTTAATCTTCTCATCTAGAGATATTTAAATTAGTTTAATTTGTTATTGTTACATGAATTAAAGAGTTAAAATATTGCATTTATTTATTTAGAATAGTGAAAGTATGAAGGTTTATAGGTTGGAAAAAATGAATAAAAAAAAATAATCTATACTCTATCAAGTATCAACTCATGGTTTTACTAAACAACACTCTTGGTTTTACTAAACAACAACAGAACAAAAACCATAAAACTACATTACAAATAATAAAAGATTTAATTTTTGCTTTTTACTTGCATTGTGAGGACATAACCAATGGTTTTGAGGATTGTCCCTGGCCTTTAATCATTCAAGAACAAATGTCATTTATCTTAGGGATTATATCTAAATGGATCAATGCAAAGTAATACTCATACAAAGTATCTATAAACATTTAAGATTTTTCTTATTATAAAATACGAGTAATAAAAAGGAGGGATTAGTCAAATAATTGAGTGAAATGTGTGAATAAGTATGTATTATATCCTTCTTAAAATTTTACAAATAATTAATAGTCATTCAGTTAAACCTCCTAGTAATATGAACTTATGAAGTATTTCGTGTAACATAGATAAAAGTTTATTTATTTATTTATTATTAAAGAAGAGCAAAATGTATTTGATTGAAGATGATAATTTTTTAACCTAGAGAAGTTTCAATCACTTACCTAACTAGATTTAAGTAAGTGAGTTCACCCCCTTCATAAAAATCAAATTTCTTATGACGTACAAAATTTAATATTTTTGTCAATCAATTAATTTTCACGATTTCAACTATCAACCAAACGAGAACTTAATCAAGCGCGTAGGCATCCACTTATAAACATGCTTGTATGTTTTGCATATAATTGCCGTATCCTTTGCATACACAGTGATAAGTCGATATTCATCAGTGCTTATTGCGTAGTGACTTTGATATTTTATAATTAAGTAAAACGTGGTGCTTAAAGAATCCAAAGAATCGCAACGCAAACGATTATTAGCGTTTAATGTCACGTCAACTCTATTAAATTAATAAGAAAATGCTCCTTTAAAAGGGACATTCTAGATTAAACTTTGATTGATTCTACTAATTTATGGCCCACCTTGGAATATTCCAGTGTGTTAAAAGGCATATTTTTTTCAATTATAAAAATGCAAAATGTGCATCTAAAGTTTGCATTAGTTAATTTGTTGTGTTTTGGTGCAAAAGAGTTGGCAGTATTCTATAGTCAGTATATTCCATGGTTCTTTATATTATCTTCGTTTTTTGGAAAGAAACTCCATGCTCAAGAAGATATTCTACTCTTTGGATCTCGGCTTCTACAACACTCAAATTATTTTACCATTGCTACTCTGTATAATTCTATCCGTCTCAAATTACTTTTTAACATTTAAACGGGGTAAAAATTATATTGATTGATGGGTAATGATCTTAAGTTTTTTTGCTTAATTTTTTTTTTTGGTTGCTTTATAGTTACGCTAAAATCCTAATAAGAAAGAAGTTAAACTGTTAAAGTGATTACTTTAAACTTCAAATTTGCTCAACAAGGACTAATCATTTGTGTAACGAAAATCTAAGTTGCCAAATGTTGTTTTTGATCAATTGGTCTGATTTAACTCAAAACTTTGTATACATTAGTTCGTTGATGCAAGTTGGATTAGGGTAATCTGCTACTAGTCTGCTACAGTGTTACCCCGATAAAAATGTCATCGTTATGAAGACAGATTCCACAACTCCTTTGAACTCTAGGAAAAGAGATAATGTACATAAAATCCTCATATCATAATAATATTTTAAGAAAATTAAGGAAGAAATTTATGGATTGATAACCAATATTCATAGAAAATATATAATCATAATAAAATTCCAATCTCATATCAGTACAAATGATTTATTAGTTTTATTGCTTAGACAAATTAGTTTATTGTCCTCAATAAATAAAGATTTATCTAACACGGTAGAGAGTCGTGACAGAACAAGATTAAATCGTTACGTAACAATAACTTGATTCAATTATTCCAAGTCATCCATGTGTACTATGGTCTATGGTCGGAAAGGTCTTTGCTTTAATTTAATTTAATAGATCCTTAAAAATGGATGAGCAATTGAGCATTGAAATCCCATCCCAAAATAAATAAACAAAAAATAAAAAAAATTTGCTGGAGTGATAGAGAGAATCTGATGAATAAGAATGGCCCTTTGGAACACTTAAAAGGTCAAATGACCCTTAATGATCACCAAAAACCAAGATACTATTCCTATGTTTTTTTAGAGTCAAATGAAAGTTTTCTTGGCTTTTTAGATGGTACAGATTTTCAAACCAAAAATTAAAAAAATTGATTTCAGAATCTAAGGGAATATCCAGATGACCTAACCTACTAAATATGACCTAACTAAGACATTTTTTGTCTTTCAGAATTTTTTTATATTATAAGATCTCCAATATCACTTATACTATGGTCAGTATCATGGTATACATTATAATATTTTAATTTATTTTTATATTTACAAAGTTATTTTAGTAAAATAAAAATTAATATTATTGGTAAGATTCCTTTTTGCATTTGTTTTATTATCGTACTATTTCACATTTGGGAAAGGCAGTATATAGGGATTTGTGGGACGTGATGAATATGCTTTATGATTCATGAATTTTTTTTATGGGGTCAAACCAATGAGATTATTTGCCCTCTTAAAAATTAGATTTATTTTAATTAATTATTTATTGATGGTCTAATAATGTTATTTATGTTAATATGTAATCCCAAATATCAGGGGGCCAATATAATTAAGTGGCTTCTTTAAATAATCATAGCCATCAATCTCTGAAATTTGATTAAAAATATTATAGATAAGTATTGAAAATATTATTAAGTAATGAAAAAAGAGGCATTAATATTGCTATCTAAGAGGGAATTAAAGGCAATGCATAAACAGCAGTTAGTGCCTTAGAATCAGTCAACCATGCCATTATTTTGTATGAATAGCCATCTCAATGGGAAAGCCTACCCTCTTTTGTTGTCTCTAAAATTAATAACCCTAGCCACCTCTTCAAAAGAGCTGGCTCCATGGGTTGGCCTCAATGTATTTTCGTACTGGTGTTGAGATAGCTACAATGAATATAAAGACGAGATCTATATTATTTTTAATAAAGTACTAAACTTCTACTGGTACAGTATCTCTTAAAACTTTACGGAGTAACAAATTATATCAGTTGACATGTATTTTGTTGATAACTCAATTTCACTTTTTTAGATATTAATTGTCTCTCAAAGTCTCTAGATTTCATCGAGTTTGGTTTACTTTTGTTCCACAAATCATATTGTGGCACATTTCTTTTGTTGATTGATTACTTGTAGATTTTG